GAAAATGATAATGATTTCCAAATGTATAGTGCAATAACCATCTGTCTTACGGGACAGATGAGAAAAGCTGGAGCCTGTAATTCCCTAATCAATGTCCCCATCTGATAAAAATGAGGAAACCGTACTAGAATGCAACGGAGAGCAGTTGCCATAGAATCATACTTCATCCTTCTTTCCAGTTCTCTTTATCACACAGACACATTTCTAATAGGGCCTTAGTAAACGAATTGCCGTACTGACATGACATGGCAAAGACATTGAATTCTATGTCTCCGGTCGTAAATGAAATTTCTGGAGGTGGAAATTAGAAGCACACAAATAAGTTGAAACATTAATGTGTTCACAAGCTCTGTTATATTACCAAAGATTGGGATACGTTTTAAAAGTTACGTCAGGTCTATCCGCTACTGATTCACATGCACAAATAATTCGTGGTAAACATTGGAACTTTGTTAGCGCAAGTACGATATAGGATTAGGTACGGACTTACCGGTTGACATGACCAACGGATGCATTTATTAGGTCCCCAACCCACCCCACCCCACCTCCGTTGATCAATTTATTCACCCACTTCCCCATGCATCTTCACTTTTAATCAGCACAGACTTTGATGTGAGATAGTGTTTTAGAATGACCTTCACTGTATCGGAAAATCTGATCAACTCTTGTAAGCAGTAGCATCTGCATGCAGTTCAACGCGAATCCACCGTTAGTTAGATGGACGGATACAATCAGCCTGTCTGTTTGCGAACTTTTGCGAGTCCTCACAAAGAGAGAGAGAGAGACAGAGAGAAATAAAACATTGGACAAAACGTTACGTACAAATGTCAACTTCGTAGTCGGGAATGGTTGTTATTTTTTCAGCCTCTGTTACACAACTGCCCGTCCGCGGTATCCGATACCATTTCTCGAGTCCTGTCAAATGTGCAATAAACAAGATGTGTATATGGTTTCTTGCCGCGAACTTGACACCGCCGCGAAAGACAAATGTTCCCAACGCGGACAGCCTAAGTGCAACGACAACAACAGCAACGAGGAAAATAGCCTGCTTTGCCAAGGTCAACATCCTATGTGGGAGTGTATGCCCACAGTCAGATTCATTGGTCGACTAGTCAACTGATTGCAATCAATTTCATCTATACATTAAGTCAAAGTCAAAGTTTTATTAAAATAAATTAATGACTAAAGATTAAATGTATTTAAATGAAAGAGTACTGTTGATCCCTTGTTGGTGATGCTAAACTTTCTCTGAGAGCTTAATAGGCAGCCCGAGTGTTCACAAAGACCGAATTCGGCAATAGAGCTTACACAAAATGCGAAATATCTAACTGTTTGTTGTCAGTGTGTCACGTTTTTAACGGAAAGTAAGAAAAGAAGATGGAATTCGCGTGCCCTCTCCCTTTATTCTTCAGCGAGACAAAAAACTTGGTCTGCCTTGGCCAACACAACGAGTGAGTGCAAGACAGAATGAAGTAACTTGGCCGGATTCATCTTGACCAGCTGAAGCCGTGATTACAAAATCCAACATTTGCACATTTGCTCAAATTCTAGGCAGCTATAGTTACCTCGCGTCTGACAGCTTTGTCATAAAACTGCTCTCCAAATGGGCACATTTATCTCGTGCTTCAGACGAAGACCAACGTCATATGCAATACGTGGCGGTTCACAAGATCAACTGAAATGACCGGTACCACAAAATATCCGGAACATACTGATTGGTCAAAGCCTTAACTGTTGCAAGGTGATCTCTAGAGAAACAGAATAGTTAGATCGGTGTACTCCATGATGACGATGATGATGATGATGTTGATTATGTTGATTGCCAAATCATGCGCAACCGTGAGAGAGCCGATCAAACCGGCTGTGTGATGGGATAGATTGTTTAACCACCTTAAAGGTTCCTTGAAACCACGCATATCCGATCAATGAAATGAAATGGCGAATTTGGTGTACGTTTGTGACCCTTCTCTGTTGATTCTTCGCACCACTAACTGGGTCTGTGTAAGAGTAGCGACGGAAGATATCGGCGTTCCGATATGTATCCAATC